ACAAAAAGTACAAGAAATAAATGCTTGAACTTATTCTAGAAACTAATGGCTAATAAAAAAATAATAATAAATAACTTCAGTGACCGCTCCAATATCAAGCTGATCTTTAATTTTATTTACTATATAAACATTATACAGTTAAAGTACTACTACTTCGCTTTAACTCTCTTACGAAATCTATAAGCCCTATGACCTCAACTTCATATTCTTAACCTATATTATAGTTAAATTTCTATATTAGTTGAGATTACGAAGAATAAGTTTTCACAAATATATAAAAGACAGCTTAAATTGTCAAGTTTAATTGATTTCTTGTATTTACTGTATAAGTTAAACTTAAATATTCAAACTTGTCTCTTATCTAACTTCCGAATTACTTCGTGGATTACTGAATTACTTTGACAGTTTATAGACCAGAAGGTATTCTTTTGATTTTTTTTGGTATCAGGGTTTGCCAAGCTATATCTGTGGCTGCCAAGCTATTTTTGTTACTGAAAAATATTATGCCAATATGTAAAACATATTGTGTAATGTTTCATATATTAAACCTAGCTGCTGCACCAAAATTTTACGAAATTCCTCGATTTTGATTGGCTAACAGCCATGATCTACAAAAGTTTGGCCCGCATTACATAATTGTTTATATAATTTTTGGCTGGAATTAACTTTTTAACTTTTTCATTCTCAAAATAGAAATTTTTAGAGAAATAGGCTCGCACAATAATAAAATTAGCCCAGGAATATTTTTCACTTAATGTGTGGCTGTGGTTTTATTAGTAAAATTTTGAGTAATTTTGGCCTAAATTATTAATTGTTGCTTTTAGCCAATCAAAATCGAAGAATTCCGTGAAATTTTGGTGCGGCAGCTAGGTTCAATGTTTCATATCAATCATTCAATTAAATTAAAGCCTACTATGTTCCGCCCTGGTGGGCAAAACCTACATTTTTGATACTCCTGCATCTACTTTTTTTGATATATTTAAAAATTAGCCAATAGGATTGCACGTTATTATAGTAAAAATGAGTAAAAAAGTATATAAATTTTAGGGTATGTTTAGATGTATCAAAAAAGTAAGTGCAGGAATATCAAAAATTCTCTAGTGGATTCGAATGTTATTCGTACAGGTCTATATAAAAATCATATGATTTTCAAATTCACATGATTTTTATATAGACTATGTAGCATTGTAAACTTAATTGAAATAATTTTTTTTTATGTATTTTAAATACTAAAAATTAAAATTAATTACATTTTTGCATTTTTAAGGGTAGAGTGTATATTGATCATTTATCATATGATTTTAGTAGTACAATAGAATTTTATACATAAATTAAAATACACCACTAATAAAAGTTTTCAAAACCACAGTCAATCTTTACCAAAATTTGGTAATATACAGATTAAACCTTCTATTTTTAGTAGTAAAATTTTTAGAGGTGGTATTATTTTAAAAAATATACTTATTTATACAGTTAAATTTCTGGAGATGCCACAAATTTGCTAGAGTTACACAAAAACATAGTAAAAATATTTTTAAACAGGTAATTAACCAATTAGATTTGTGTTTACTATATAATCTGTTATACAAAAAAATTTGCTATACATATCATATAATAAATGATCTATATACACTCTACCCTTAATAATGATAAGTATTACATTTACGTATTAACTGTATATATATTATTAAACATTGATTAATCTATCATTTATAGATTATTTACTAATCTAATTATAAATCGAATTCATTATCCATTCCGAACATTTTATTATTATAATATATCAACTTATCAACTTGAAATTGGTCATCAGTTTTAAGTGATAAATTAGTAAGATCGATAATTTTTGAAATTAAGAATGTATTATCAATTTGTTTAATAGTTTCTGATGATGTAATTTCTTGATCATTTAATAATGAATATTCTTGATTATTTAATAATAAATGTTCTTGATTATTAGATAATAAGTGTTCTTCATTATTTAATAGTAAATGTTTTTGATTTGAATCAAATAAAAGTTCATCGATATTAGAAATTATAATACATTTACTGAATCTCTTAATTCTTGTTGAGTCAAATCCTCTCTATAGTAAATCAATTCTTTTTTAATATTCGTTTAATAATAAGATTATATTATTTATAAAATTATTATTGAATTACTGTAATAAATTTTCACTTTCATAATTCTAAATTTAATTATGATATAATACAATTTTTGCAATTACTAAACAATAATATTTTTGTAAATTAAACTATTTTGGTATTTAAATTTAATTAAGTTTATAACACTAAACCCG